CCGCACCGCGGGCTGCGCGGACGGCGACGCGCGAGGGACAAGGTACGCGAGGGGCCCGCCCCTCCACCTCCGCGGTCCGGAGCCGACCTGCTCCTCCTGCGTGGTTACCGGTCCCTGTAACTCCTCCTTCTCCCTCACTTCCCACTTCCGCCTGTCACCAAGTCCTGCGCATTCCAGCGCCTAAACATCTGGCAGTCGTGTCCTAGTCTCCATCCCCAATTACCATCACTGCCCACCACCCCCACCTCTAGTCACACCACGGATTTCTTCCTTGCAGCAATGAACTCACTGTCTTTCATCTTCCACTCATCCCCTCGCATCCATTCTCCATCTGCAGCCAAAGGTGATCATCCTGAAACAGGACTAATTCTCTCTCTTCATAGCTTAAAACCTTGCAATAACTCCCCATTATCTTCCTAACAACGGTCAAACTCCTTTCTATGACCTCAAGGCCCTGCATGATCTGGTCTTACCAAAGCTCCATCCAAACTGGATGATTTGCTATTTCTCTAGTATAGTCCTTGTTTGCAGGGGACCTTTGCTATTCCTGTTCCCTCTGCCTGGAAAACTCTTGCTGCCATCCCCACCTGTCAAAAACTTCTCTGAAAAGGGCCGGCCTGTGGCTCACTCGGTAGAGTGCGGTGTTGATAACACCAAGGCCACGGGTTCGGATCCCATATATGGGATGGCCGGTTTGCTCACTGGCTGAGCGTGGTGCTGACAACACCAAGCCAAGGGTTGAGATCTCCTTACCGGTCATATTTTAAAAAAAAAACTTCTCTGAAAAACTGCTTAAAACCCCTATTCAATGTCAGCCTCTCCTTCCTCTACAATCCCAGTTCTTTGTTACTGTTTTTGTTTATTCGTTTAACAAACATTATTTTAGTAGTTTTTACTCTGTCTCAAATCCTGAACTTGGCACTACAGGGTCTGATGAATAATATGGGTTTCCTTGTGGGAAGATAGTACCCAAACGAGAAAATGCAGGAAATGTTCTGGACTCAGGAGCAGTCAGCTCAACTGGAGGAAGGAGTCAGGAAAAGCTACTTAGGGAAGGTGAAATTTGAATTGGTTTTTGAAACTTACTAGGCAGATAGGTGGGAGGGGTTAAAAGGGTATTCCAGGAAAAGAATACAAAGAGAGCAAAGGCATGAAAGTTCGAAGTTTACTGGTGTGTTCAGAAAACTATTACTTATTCATTTTGGCTGGGCCATTGAGTTGGTGATAGGACACAAAATGAGAAGACTACAAATATAAGTAGGAGCTAGATTGTGAAAAGCTTAGAGAGAACTTCCAGTTAAACATGGCATATGTAACATATGCATTTATCTTTGCTTTCCCCAGACACCTCCCATAAATGAGAATAAAGAGATAAAGTACATAAACTGCAAGACCAAAGAGAATGGTAAAAATCATGACAGTGGACGAGAAATGTCAAAATTTTGTAAGATGCACAGCAACATTGTGCAATAGAAATATAATGACAGCCACATATGTAATTTAAAATTTTCTGCTAGACACATTAAGAAAGTGAAAATAAACAAGTGAAATTAATTTTTAAAATATTTCGTTCAAACAAAAATATCATCAAAATAGCATCCTTTCAAAATATGTAGCACTAGTCAGTCACATTTCAACAAATCCATAGCCACATGTGGCTACTTGGCTACCGTATTGAACAGTGCATGTGTACAGCACAAAAAATAAGTGCTTACACAGGGAAAGCCTATAAAAAGCGAACGAATTTGCCCCTCAGAACCTATAAAATCTTTGAAATTGGAGGCACTGGGTTCCTTTAAAGGCAGGGGTATGGAGTGGGGATGAATAAAAAAGGATTGGTTGAAAGTTTGATTAAGAAGCAGTTGATATCCTCCAAATCTCTTTCCTCAATTCATGCAGCCAAGTGGTTGTCCCTACTGACATCACTCAGGCATCATTATTGTTGGTGTCATCAACATCACTAAAAGTTATTGAGTACTCACTATGTTCCAGACATCTTACATATCATAACTTAATTGCTTCTCCCAACAGTTTTACTAGGTAAGCAATATTATTATATACCCATTTTACAGATGAGAAAACCAAGGCACAGAAAGTTTAAGTAACTTGCCAACAATTACACAGTATACATTGGAAGCTATGGTTTGAACCAAAACATGCTTACTCTAGAACTTTCTTTCTTAACTGCTAGTTTTACTTTCTGGAGAGGTTGAATTAGAGAAGCTCTGGACTTATAGACAATATGTGAAACTTAGGAATTGATAGGCTGTGGCCTCTAACAGGTGCAGAGGAATCAGGGATGACCTCCAAAATTCTGGCTTGGGCGACTGTATAGACATGACTCTATATAACAAGATTTTGAGAACAGAAGAATCAGGTTTGTAAGAAAGATGATGAGTTCATATTTGACTAGTTGCGCCTCTAACAGGTGCAGAGGAATCAGGGATGACCTCCAAAATTCTGGCTTGGGCGACTGTATACACATGACTCTATATAACAAGATTTTGAGAACAGAAGAATCAGGTTTGTAAGAAAGATGATGAGTTCATATTTGACTAGTTGCATTTGAAGATCCATGAAATAACCATGTAGAAATATCCAGTCAGATATATGGGTCTGGAGCAGAGATGTTTGGGCTGGAAACAGATATGGAAGTCATCAGCTCATCAGTAGTAAATGAAGTCTGAGAGAAGATGACATTGGCAAGAGTGTTCATGTAAAGTAATGAGGCCACAATGGAAACCCAGGTTTCAGCATTGTATTGAAGTTCCCACATCTGAGAACAGAAATGGGGTGGAAATAAAGATAGTGATCCAAGTGTTAAAATCCTGAATGAATGAGGAGTTATTGGAAGATTGGAAGGTGACAGGAACAAAGATATGATGAGCAGCTAGATGACGTACGCTTCTAAGGAGCTGTGATTTTTAAAGGAAGAAGGGAAGAAGCAATTGGGAAGCAGCTAGGGGGAACAAGTGGGACAACTATTTTACTCCTAGGCTTTGAGCTGTAGGAAGAAAAATAGCTCTTACATAGGCAGAACTGCAAGGGAAACAGAACCCAGAGGGAACGGCCCAGTTTCTATTAGAACACGAAAGTCAAGAGAAACTTCAAAGAAGTAGAGGATGTAGGGGTTTTTCCTGCATTCAGAAGGCATGGTAAGTGGAAGGTTTGAGAAGCCAGAGAGCAGCAAGAGATGGAATCAGAATAAAATATGTACTGAACAGTATGGATGAGTGGCCATGTGAAAATGGATATTCTGGGGAGCTTGGACTTCAGGTGGTGGCCAAGGTGAGTGGGCAGAGATTATGATCACATTAATCCTGGAAATGGTCTAGAGAAAGGTGAAGACACGAAGTTATAGTCCAGAGTATTTAGCTGGGGCCATATTTATTGTTGCAGCCAGGTGGGGTGTGGGCCTGGAAGAGATAGGAGCCCACTTGGGGAGGCAGAGCTGTTAGCTCATGGAGCTGGGGTAGCTCGGGGTGGAGCCTGGGATGGCTGCCCTCTCTGATGGCTGGTGGTATTGTGGAGCCAGGAGTGCTCTAAAACTCAAGACCGGTTGAAATACTGCGGACTTACTCTTAAAGTGAGGGCTCAGTTTTCCCCATAAAATATCAGTAGAGAACTAAGATCAGAACTCTGATGGCTATAGGCTAAAGAAAGAATGAATGACAACGAAGTAGAGATGGCAAGTACAGACCACTCTATATAGAGCTTGCACGAAAATAGAAGATTAAAGGCACAGTGATAACTTCTGGGTGTGTCTGAGGGTTGTGGGAAGGCTGCTCTTTTCTAAGGGAAGAGACAAGCGTGTTTCTACATTTAGGGGGAAGATATCAGAAAAGGGGAGATGGGAAATATAGGACTAAAGGGAACAATTGTTGGAGCAAAGCCGATTCTGAAGCAGAAATGAGGGCCAGACATGGAAAACCCAGCAGTGGGGATCAGCTTAAAGGAAAGGAGAGGGGAGTGAGTTCAGGCATACATGAAAGAAGTGGTGTAGGGTCAGCAAATCAAGGGAGTTCATTCTCATTGCCTCTGTCTTCTTGCAAAAGGATATGTTCAAGCCATTATCTGAGAAAGAGTGGGGTGGGAGAAGACTTTTTGAGTGTGGTGAAGGTTTGGAAATAGGCAAAGAGGTAATCAGAAATCATTCCAGCATAGAAAAGGGGCTCCCTTTGGAGCTTTAAAACAGCCAAGGATTACCTGTTCTTTCCCTGGAGACTAACAACATCTTCCAGCCAGCACATTCTGGGCAGGACCTGGCACCCCAAAACATCCCTTGAGACTGGCAGCCTTCAAGGGAACCATTC